TGAGCACGGCTGGCCCAGACAGGGGCTGTGGGGACACTGGGAATGTCTCAGCCCTGTGCACTGGGAAGGGCTGTGGGGTGACTGGGAATGTCCCAGCCCTGTGCACTGGGAAGGGCTGTGGGGACACTGGGGGTGTCTGGTCTCTGTGCCCTTGGATGTTCCTCATCCAACCCCGACACCGTGTCACTGCTCCCCCCTGGAACATGTCCCAGGGCTCCTTCCCAGCGTGTCCATCCAGGGAAATGCCACGTCTCACCCTCGCAATGGGAGGTATCAAGGGCAGCAATTGGGATGACACAAGTGCCCCGGATCCTCCTGGGATTGCCCCAGGACCTGGGATTTCAGCTCCAGGGCAGCTGTAGCGATGGTCACCCACAACCAGGGCAGGGAGAGGATCCCATTCCTGCACACGAGATCACCACAGCCCCGTGGGAGGAGACATTTTCCCCTGTTTTTCATGGCTCTGGGTGTTTCTTTCCCCCCAGTTCCCTCGGATCATCCTGTGGCTGATGGTGGAACTCGCCATCATCGGCTCGGACATGCAGGAGGTCATCGGCTCGGCCATCGCCATCAACCTGCTCTCCGTGGGCAAGTGAGTTGGGGTTGTGCAGGAAATGAGGAGAAAGGGGAACCAAAAACTCCATCACCCCATAAATCCCCCCAGCTCAGCTCTGAGGACGTGAGTCACCCCCAGCAGCCGAGGTCTCATCGCTGACTCAGCCTCTGGTGCTGGATTTCGACTGTGGGACCCGCAGGGTCTGGGCTTGGTTTTAGCTCTGACTGGTTCACAATTGGGGGGCAGCTTCCTGCCAAACTCCACATCCCACAGAGGATTCCTGGGAAGGCGTCCTTTGAGCTGGGAAGGCAGGAAATGGAGCTGGAACAGGCAGACCTGGGGTTTCCCTCGGGATTCGGAGGGTCACCTCCCGCGGAGCAGGACACAGCCCTGCACATCCCAACGCCTGCTCAGGCTGGGAAGAACCCCTGGACACGCAGATCCATCCCAAAAAAGCCCTAAATAAGGGGCATTTGGGACTCTGGGTGTGCACTGACCCCGCTCTCGCCCGCAGGATCCCGCTCTGGGGGGGGGTGCTCATCACCATCGCCGACACCTTTGTCTTCCTCTTCCTCGACAAATATGGTAATTTCTCCTTCAGAATTCCAGGAATTAAAATCTGAGATCAAGGGTTTCTCGGGTTGGTGACAAGGGGCCTTTTCCTCCTCTCAGGCCTGCGGAAGCTGGAGGCGTTTTTCGGGTTCCTGATCACCATCATGGCCCTGACCTTTGGATACGAGGTACCGCTGCCTCCGGAGACACCCAGGGGCTGGAGGGTGTCCAGGGCTGGGAATGGAGCTGGGAAGGGGCTGCAGAACTGAGGGAGCGGGGAGGCTCAGCCTGGAGAAAAGGAGGCTCAGGGGGGACCTTCTCCCTCCCCAACACCTTCCTGACAGGAGGGGCAGCCAGGGGGGGGGGTCGGGCTCTGCTCCCAGGTGACAGGATGAGAGGAAACATCCTCAGGGGAGGTTTGGGCTGGATACTGGGGGAAATCCCTTCCTGGAAAGGGGTGTCCAGCCCTGGCCCAGCTGCCCGGGGCAGGGAGAGGTGCCTGTCCCTGGGGGGATTTGGCACGTGGGGACATGGTCAGTGGTGGTGCCAGTGCTGGACCCAACCATCCCAGAGGCTTTTTCAACCCTAACAAGTCTGTGATTCAATCCCACGATCCCAAATCAGCACCAAACACGGTGATGGACACTTAAAAGCCACGTTTTGGGCAGATTTGAGTCGGCGTCGTGGTTTCATTTTTTTACCAAAGCAGCCCCATATGGGCTGTGGAGCCCCCAATGTGTCACAGCCCCAATCCCCCGTTCTCCTGTCCCCAGTACATCACGGTGAAGCCCAACCAGGAGAAGGTGCTGCAGGGGCTGTTCATCCCCTACTGCAAGGACTGTGGGACGCCCCAGCTGGAGCAGGCCGTGGGCATCGTGGGCGCTGTCATCATGCCCCACAACATGTACCTGCACTCTGCCCTGGTCAAGGTGAGCACCTGGGGGTGGGGAGGGTCCTCAGGGTCCCACCGTGGGAGGGGGACACGGAAAAACCCCCTCAGAGGAGCTCGTGGCCACTGTGGGGTGTGGGACCCGAGGGCACGTTCTGTGTCCCACCATCGCTTCAATCAGCCGTAATTCCAAGGATAACCAGTGAATTCCCACCCCCATCCTGCCCCCGTCCCCCCCAGTCCAGGCAGGTGGATCGCTCGGACAAGCGGCAGGTGCGAGAGGCCAACAAGTATTTCTTCATCGAGTCGTGCATCGCCCTCTTCGTGTCCTTCATCATCAACATCTTCGTGGTCTCCGTCTTCGCCGAGGCCTTTTTCAACAAGACCAACGCGGACGTGGTGAGGGAACCGGGACAGGGTGGCACTGAGGGACCCAGGCAGTGCCCCTTCCCCTGTGCTGGGCACTGCCCTGAGTCCTGGGCTCAAAGACCTCAAGGTGCTGGAGCATGTCCCGGGCCAGGAACGGAGCTGGGAAGGGGCTGGAGCAGCAGGAGGGGCTGAGGGAGCTGGGGGGGCTCAGCCTGGAGAAAAGGAGGCTCAGGGGGAACCTTCTGGCTCTGCAACTCCCTGACAGGAGGGGGGAGCCAGGTGGGGGTTGGACTCTGCTCCCAGGTGAGAGGACAAGAGGAAAAGGCAGCTGGAGGATGTTTAGGTTGGATTTTAGGGAAAATTCCTTCATGGAACAGGCTGCTCAGGGCAGGGGTGGAGTCCCCATCCCTGAGGGGATTTAACAACTGCGTGGATGTGGCACTTGGGGGCATGGTCAGTGGTGGCCTTGGCAGTGCTGGGGTCACCACTGGACCCAATGATCCCGAAAGCTTTTCCACCCCAGCCCATTCCCTGATTCCTGCCCTTCTGTGCCCTTGCAGAACCAGGTCTGTGTCAACTCCAGCAGCCCCCACTCCTCGCTCTTCCCCAACAACAACGAGACACTGGAGGTGGACATATACAAGGGGGTGAGTGTCCCCGGGGGAATGGCCTGGGGACATCCTGGTGGCCTTGTCTGGGGTCCCCAGGGTGGGGACAGCCACATCTGGGGCAGCTGGTGACCCTGCCCAGTGTCCCCAGGGAGGGACAGCCACATCTGGGGCAGCTGGTGACCCTGCCCGGTGTCCCCAGGGAGGGACAGCCACATCTGGGACAGCCTGGTGATCCTGTCTGGTGTTCCTGGTGGGGGAACAGCCTCATGACCCCATCTGGTGTCCCTGGGTTGGCACAGCCACATCTGGGGCAGCTGGTGGCCCTGTCTGGTGGCAGCTGCTGCTTCTGGGTAAACTGGGAGCGTTGGGGACTGGGAGCAGTAAAGGGATCCCTGAAAACAGAGTTGGGGGGAAGAGATCCTGGGGGTCCTTGAGCCCACCCCTCACTCAGCTGACAGAGCTGCCCCCATCCTGTTCCAGGGTGTTGTTTTGGGGTGTTACTTCGGCCCTGCTGCTCTCTACATCTGGGCCATCGGGATCCTGGCGGCCGGGCAGAGCTCCACCATGACGGGCACCTACTCGGGCCAGTTCGTCATGGAGGTACCGACCCCTGCTCCTCACCCCCTGCTCCCTCCTCACCTCGGGCTCCTTGCTCTGGGTTCTGTGCTCTTGACTCTGTACTCCTTGCTTCGTATTCCTGACTCATCTCCTCTGTACTCCTTACTCTGTATTCTGTACTCCTTACTCCTCACTCTGTACTCCTTACTCTTTACTCTTCACTACGTTCTCCATCCTCCTTACTCTATTCAGTACTCTTTACTCTGTATTCTGTACTCCTTACTCCTCACTCTGTGCTCCTTACTCTTTACTCTTCACTACATTCTCCATCCTCCTTACTCTGTATTCTGTTCTCCTCACTCATTACTCCTCTGTACTCCTCACTTACTCCTCACCCCACACTCCTCACTCCCTCCTCAGCCCTCCCTCGTTGCCACCTCACCCTCTCACCCCTGTGCCCCCCCAGGGGTTCCTGGCCCTGTGCTGCTCCCGTGCTCCCCTCTCCTCACCACCCAGCCCTTTCTCACCCCTCGCCCCCCCTGTGCCCCCCCAGGGGTTCCTGAACCTGCGCTGGTCCCGCTTTGCCCGGGTGCTGCTCACGCGCTCCATCGCCGTCACCCCCACCCTCTTCGTCGCCATCTTCCAGGACGTCGAGCACCTGACGGGCATGAACGACTTCCTCAACGTCCTCATGAGCCTCCAGGTGAGCAGGGGGCAGCTGGCTGGGGTCAGGCCCCTCCCAGCCCCCAGGTGTTCCCAGCCAGGTGGGGTCAGGCGCCTCCCAACCCCCAGGTGCCCAAGACCAGCTCAGACGGGGCTTGGAACAACCTGGTCAGTGGAAGGTGTCCCTCCCTACCCATGGCAGGGATGAGCATTGAGGTCCCTTCCCGCCCAAACTGTTCCAGGACTCCATGATAATCAGGGCACTTCCCACTCTTCATTCTTCCCTGTTTTCCTGCTTGTTCCAGCTCCCCTTTGCACTGATCCCAGTGCTCACCTTCACCAGCCTGCCCAGCGTGATGCACGACTTCGCCAACGGCCTGTGAGTACCACGGGAACCCCCTGGGCACACCTGGGCACCTCTTTACCTGGGCACCTCCTCGCCTGGGCACCTCCTCACCTGGGCACCTCTTTACCTGGGCACCTCACCTGGGCACCTCCTCACCTGGGCGCCTCCTCACCTGGGCACCTCCTCACCTGGGCGCCTCCTCACCTGGGCGCCTCCTCACCTGGGCACCTCTTCACCTGGGCACCTCCTCACCTGGGCGCCTCTTCACCTGGGCACCTCCTCACCTGGGCGCCTCCTCACCTGGGCACCTCTTCACCTGGGCGCCTCCTCACCTGGGCGCCTCCTCACCTGGGGACCTCCTCACCTGGGCGCCTCCTTACCTGGGCACCTCCTCACCTGGGCACCTCTTCACCTGGGCACCTCCTCACCTGGGCACCTCCTGGCCTGGGCCATCCCCCCGCTGTGCTCACCCCGCTGTGTCTCTCCTTGCCCCCAGGTTCTGGAAGGTGGCCGGGGGCCTCCTGATCCTCCTCGTCTGCTGCATCAACATGTACTTTGTGGTGGCCTACGTGAGGGACCTGCACAACCTGGGCCTGTACATCGGGGCCGCCGTGCTCAGTGTCGTCTACCTGTCCTTCGTGGCCTACCTGGTGAGTGAGTTGGGCTCCACCTGGTGAGTTGGGCTCCACCTGGGCCCCCTCCCAGCTGGGAGAAGACTTTGGAGCAGCCCACGGCTCCTCTGCCCCTGCCTGTGTGTCACAGAGGTGGAAAATCGTGGAGTGACCACGGAGCCGTGGGGTGGGGTGGGGTGGGAGGGACCTTCAGGGTTATTTCATCCTGCTGTGCACAGGGACACCTTCCACCTCCCAGCCCCGTCCAGCCTGGCCTTGAACACTTCCAGAGATCCTCTGGGAAATCGATGCCGGTGCCTCCCCCACCCTCACGGGGAGGAATTGCTTCCCAAAATCCTCCTCTGGACTTGCTCCAACAGCCCCACGTCCTCCCTGTGTTGGTGCCCCAGAGCTGGGGGCAGCTCTGCAGGTGGGGTCTCACCTGAGGGGGCAGAGGGGCAGAACCCCCTCCCCTGCTGTGGGATGAGCCCGGGCTGTCGGGCCCCCCCGGGCTGTCACCTGCCCCCTCAGCTCGGTGTCACCTGCACATGAGCCCTGTCTGTGTCCCCAGTGAGGCTGTTCCCGGATACTGGTCCCAGTTTAGACCCTGAGGGACCCCCCTCATCCCCTGGGCATGGAGCCATTGGCTCCTTGAGTGGCCAATCTCTGATGCAGTGAGGGACCCCCAATGGATCCCTCTGTGGGGTCATTTGTGGAGCTTCACCCCCACCCCAGCTGAGGTTTGGGGTCCCCAGTGCAGAACATTGAGGGGCTGGAGGGTGTCCAGGGCTGGGAATGGAGCTGGGAAGGGGCTGGAGAACTGAGGGAGCTGGGGGGGCTCAGCCTGGAGAAAAGGAGGCTCAGGGGGGACCTTCTCCCTCCCCAACACCTTCCTGACAGGAGGGGCAGCCAGGGGGGGGGTCGGGCTCTGCTCCCAGGTGACAGGATGAGAGGAAACGTCCTCCAGGGGAGGTTTGGGCTGGATATTGGGGGAAATCCCTTCCTGGAAAGGGGTGTCCAGCCCTGGCCCAGCTGCCCAGGGCAGGGAGAGGTGCCTGTCCCTGGGGGGATTTATGAGCTGTGTGAATGTGGCACGTGGGGACATGGTCAGTGTTGGCCTTGGCGGTGCTGGTGCCAGTGCTGGACCCAACCATCCCAGAGGCTTTTCCACCCCAGCCCATCCCACAGTTCTGTGACTCCCTGACCCTCTGCCCCTCCCGCTCCTGTGTCCCTGCCCTGACTGTGCCCTGGTGTCCCCGCAGACGTGGCTGTGCCTCATCGCCCTGGGCGCCTCCTTCCTGGCCTGCGGGAACACGGTAAGCGTCACCCGGACCCTGCACCTGGAGCCGCCGCCCCCCCGGACCCCCAAATAATGGGGGGGGGAGGTCCCGGACCCGCCGGAGCCGCCGGAGCTGCGTTCCCGGGGGAGGAGGCGCGGGAGGACCCGGAGCACCCGGCACTGCCGGAATCCTGCTGCTGTTCCTTTGCTGAGCCCCCAAATTCCCCCGGGGCGGGGGGCACGTGGGAGCTGCCTGACCCCTCCTGTCCTCGGTGTCCTTTAAATCCCCCCAGATTCCTCCTCCCGGGGTGTTTGACCCCAGGGAGCACAAACACTGACTCCCGGGAGCGCTGCCCTGGCGCCCACCTGGATAATCCAGACAAATAAGCTACAAAAACCCCCAAATCCCCCTTTCGGGTGGCATTTGGGGACCGGGGTGACACTACAGCTGCATCTACCTCTGCCACCCTGGCCTGGCCAAATTTGGTCCTTTTTCACTGGAAAACACTTCCCATTCCCGGGGAAATCCCACGAGGACGGGAAACCTGAGCATTGATATTGTCACTACTGGTTTTTACTGGCCCGACGTGGGATTTTGGGGTCAGCAAAGGAAACGAGTTTGTGGTTATTTATGATTTTATGACTTTATTCCCTGTGACCTCTGGAAACTCTCTTCGAGTTCTCAAAAATCCCTGGATTATGGCTCAAAATCAGGCTGTGGAAGCTCCACAGTCTTTTCCAGGGGTTTCCTTGCTGCTCCCGCTTTTCCCAGATTTAAATTCCCCCATCTCACTTTCTGCTGCTGTTTAATGAGTTTTGGGTTTTTTGGGAGAAGCTTTGCTGGGAATGTGACCCAAGTGCAATGGAACAGATTGGGATGGAGGGAATGGGGCACCTCTCAGATCTCCAGCTCTAGCAGGGGTTTGGAGTCTCATCCTGCCTGGTGGGGTGGGTTTGGATCTCTGGATCATGGAAATTAGGGTTAATTAGGGGAACTCCCTTCTCTGTCCACCTGGAGGCACGGCAGAGGCAAAGCTCCGTGGATTTAGATCCCAAAATGCTTTATGGATCTGCAGGATGGAGCAGGGGTGGGGGTGAGGGGCTCCCCTCCCAGGTGGGTGTCACAGCTCCCACCCAGCCTGGCCCTGGATTATTTGGGATCCTTGGATCAGGGCTGCCCAGTGCCAGGGGCTCCATCCCTCGCTGTAATGGGGCTTCCTTGTAATTCCATCGGCCCTTCCCTGTGCCCCCTGTCCCAGGCAGGGAATCCTCTCTGAAATAAAATCCCCAACCCTTGGGAATGCTGCCCTGATGCCATTTTGGGATCCAGTGGTCACTGGGATTTCTTCCCTTCATGAGCAAACCTGGCTGGCTCCCAGGATCGGGGCAGGTCAGGGCAGCCCCTTCCTGCCTTGAGCTTCCACAGGGTTTTATCCGTCACTGCCCAGGATCTGGGGTTATTCCATGGTGCCCAGGACACATTCCAGGGACATGAGTGACAACACCCAGAGCCCAGCAGGAAAAAACTTTAATTAGGGACAGGATTGTATCCGCTTTTCCCACCCTTTCCCAAACCAGCTGAGCCTTGTGGCTCCCCCTGACCCGAGCAAGGATTAGGACATGATGGATTCCCAGTTTTCAGGTCATTACCCCAGAATTCCAGCAGGATTTAACCCTGTAGTGTAACACTTGTAGGTTTTACACCCCTTCCCACAACCCAACAGCCACGATCCCTGGGAATTCAGGGGTGGGAGGGGACGGGTTGGACTCGGGCTCCAGAATCCCGCTGTACACACCCCCTGGCTCTCCTGGATCGGGAATGTTGGTTTGGGAGGGGTCAGCTTTCGTGGCTGAAACACTGACTGCGTGGCAGCAGCTCCACGGCAGAGCCTCTGGGTCGGGTCCCTGCCCGTGGGCTCCGCTCCTCGCTGCACTGATTTGGAGATTTTCCCTGGTTGTGTGAACCCCCTTCGCCATTAAAACACGGAGACTTTTCCAGCTTGGCTTCCTGGGTCGTTTTTTGGGGTCTGCTCCGAGCGCCGGCCATTCCTGGCTGTGTGGAGCCCCCAGTGCTCACGGAGCTGGGTCAGTAGGACGAGCTCCCGGGGGGGCACGTCCCCGTCCCCATCCCACGGGATTCGCTCCCGGGGTCACACTGTGACCGCGTCATCACCGGGAGAGTGGAGGGTCCGTCACTCTGCGGTGCCTTCCCGCTGGAATTCCCTCGGTGGGATCCAGGACACGGCCCGTCCATCCTGCCCCGCTCCGGCCCGACCCACCCCTGCGCCGAAAAACACGGAATTCCAATTTTCTTCCCTGCTTTCTTACCCCCTCCCCACTCCCGACCCGGAGCCTCAACTCCAGCCCAGCCCAGCCCGGCCCGGGCTCAGCGCTGTTTAACACCGGGATCATCCAGGCTCATCCCGAGGATTCGGAGCGTCCTCCTGGAATTAACCCGCCTGTGCTGCCGGTGCTAATTAAGGCTCATCCACGCTCCAATTTAATTAAGCTGGAGCAGGAGTTAATTGAGGCTGCGGGAGGGATCGACTCGGAGCTGTGGGTGGGGCCGGGCCGGGACCCGCCCCAATTAACACCGGGATCCGTTCCTAATTAACACCGGGACCCACCCTCAATTAACACCGGGATCCGTTCCTAATTAACACCGGGACCCACCCTCAATTAACACCGGGATCCGTTCCCA